CTTGACTGATACAAAGGCGGAATTCCATACATATCAGTTATTCCAATAGAGAGCACTAAGAGTAGCGATAAGAGGCCTCCACCCATCAACTCCACCTGATGCAATTAAAGAAGAATTGACAGAACTGGGTTTCAGTGTCCGCCAAATTGTCAACGTATATAAAGATAACAAAGAGCAACCAGGTACAAACAACAAAATAGCCCTACCACTATTTTTTGTAGACCTAGAGCACACCACTGGGATTGATAACATCTATAAATTAAGACGCCTGTACTATATTAATATAGTTGTCGAAAAACCATATGCAAAACGGGAAATAGTACAATGTCATAATTTCCAATCATATGGCCATACTAAAAGCTATTGGCACCGCTTGCCGCGATGCGTGAAGTGCGGACAGCAAGAAGGAAGATTGCAATAAGTCCAAGCAAACTCCTGCGGCATGCGCATTATGCCATAAAGATCACCCTGCAAACTACAAAGCATGCCAGACATATAAAATCTTAAAATCAAGATTACAGACAGCACCCAGACATTAAGAGACTTCCAGGACTCCCAGACCACCAAGGCAACCCTCAAGATTTGCAAACAAATAAGTCTCTTATGCTCAAATAATTCCCATAATAGCAACATCCTGATACTCCTACATACTGGCCAACAGATCTTAACCGTAATCTTGACTTCTTCATTCACAAAGTTCTAGGGACGCTAAATTTCTCAATTTCATGGCTCGATGACCTTTCCTCAGACCATAGTCCGCTAAACCTAATCCTTTCCGCATCTCCTATCCCCAAATTATCTCCTCCCTCATTCATCAGAGGCCCAGTCAACTGGAACCTTTCCTGTCAAACAATAACTGATGATGCAATAGACATCAGAGTACCCCTAAAAACCGGTCAAGACCTAGATAATGCAGTGCGTTCCTTCACCACCTTGATCCAACAAGCAGTCTGGATTGCATCCTCACCTCCAAAAAATCCCTCAAAAAGAATCCCTTGCCCCAAAACCTTACTGACCTTATTAAATCCAAACGCCAATCTAGGACCCTATGGCAAAGAACCAGGCATCCTGATGATCGGAAATTATATAATTACTATTCCAAACAGGTTAAAAAAGAACTGGCTACCTTTAGATCCCAATCCTACAATTCCTACCTTTCTTCCCTCTCTACCGATGACAACTCCCTCTGGAAAGTGACCATAAAAATCCTTAAATACCAATCTATGAAGAATTTGCCAAACACCTATCCAAAACATTCACTCCCCACACCAAACTCCATCCCACCCACAATGCTGAAGTTAAAGAACTCCTCTCTTATCCGATTCCTCTCTCCTTGCCTCCTAAAGCTGTCAACCCCTCTGAAGTCAAATTCCATATAAACAACTTAAAACCTCGAAAATATCCTGGACACGATCTCCTTACTTCCCAGATCCTTAGACAACTTCCCAAAAAAGCAATCATGTTCCTCACATACCTGTATAACTGTACCCTCCGCACAACTCACTTTCCTCTGATATGGAAACACTCCATTATTATCCTCTTCCCTAAACCAGGTAAACCTGTTAATAATACCTCATCCTATAGACCAATAAGCTTGCTCCCAATCCTCTCCAAAATCTTTGAAAAAATCCTTCTCAAACGTATCCTACGCATTCTCGAAACCCACAATATCCCCTCTCATCAGTTTTGATTCCGCTCAAGACATTCCACTGTTCAATAAGGCCTCCGCGTTGTTGACCATATATCCTCTGCGCTTGAAAACTCCAACTGAACTCTCCAAACATTATCCAATTGAGGCTGATGTTCCACAAGGCAGTGTCTTGGGCCCAGTTCTCTACATCCTCTTCACCGCCGACATTCCAACCAATCCCAATACCCTTCTAGCAACATTCGCTGACGATACCGCCATCCTGTCATTCCACACAGAACCTGAAACAGCATCCTTAAACCTTCAAAGACATATCTCCCTAATTGAGCAGTGGTGCAACAACTGGCGCATAAAAATCAACGAATCCAAATGCAAGCATGTCACCTTTACCCTCCGACGTAGATCCTGTCCACCTATCCTATTCAACTCTGTACCTCTCCCCGTATCAGACACAGTTCGGTATCTAGGATTCCTTTTAGACAAAAGAATAACATGGAACCCACATACCAGACTTAAAAGGCAAGAACTTAACCGACGACTTGGCCAGTTATACAGACTACTTAACAGAAAAAACAAACTCTCAATCGAAAACAAACTATTAATATACAAGAACATACTGAAACCAATCTGAACCTACGGACTTGAGCTGTGGGGGACAACTAAATTTTAGAACATCAAACGCATTCAATCCTTCCAGTCTAAAGTCCTCCGTATAATAGTCAATGCTCCTTATTATGTTACTAACAAAACCTTACATCATGACCTTAACATCCCTTATGTCCTTCCCGATTTTCAAATTTTCATCAGAACCTGACCTATCATCCTAATCCCTTAGCACAATCCTTATCCAGTTCCATTCATCCCTACAATCCTCCTCGAAGGATGAAGCGGCAGTGGCCTCGAGATCTTTTGTAAATACGTCATTGGAGTCCTGGCTGTCTTGGACAAAGAGACCTACTACACCACCCGTATAATCAACTCTGTCATGACGAATGAAAGTATAGAAGGATCTATCTCCTAGATAGAAGGATCTGGGAAGACGGGATTGTGGGTTTCAACCAGGTTTTGGATTCGGCAATTAAATGGTATAAATTATGGAGAAAAAAGTGATAAAATTCATCAAAATGGGCTAAACGTGACTGAGCGTTGAAATGGCAGGTTAAAAGGGTATTAGTCATGGAAGAAGGAGGGGTTTCTTGGTAAACGGACAGGAGGAGCTAAGAATAGGAATATATCTACAGCAGCTAGAGCCAATATGAGCCCAGAGACCATAATTAATGATAATATCTCTATTGATAAGAAGAAGAATTTTATAAAATTTAACAGATATTAATACTGAGGGAAAACAGAAAATATAAAATTTAGTTAACGAAAAGTATGTTCCTACTGTGAGAAACAACAAAAATACATAAATTAAAATTTCTAAACAGATGAAACCTAAAATGTTCTCCATAAACAAAAATAAAATTATTACCAATGTAAATTAATAAAATAAAAGCAACAAAAACATAAACCTGAAAATATGAAAAAGTAAAAACCAAATTGTACTAAGTAATGAAACATGAGTACATGTCAAGTAAATATGTCTAAGTCTGATGGTGAATTAATGACGACTACCTGCTGACCATCGTCGCGTCGACATTTCACCTTGCTTGCACTAAACCACACACATCTGATTTTCCAGGCAGACCTCTTCTGCCGTGCCAAACAGTACAAATGTCTGTTGGTTACAGACATAGCTTCGCTTAGGTAAATCTTGTGGGCGTCACTTTCTTGGCATCGGAGATGGCGTGTTGAAAAGTCTCTTATAACCATCACCGGGCCACCACCATAGTAGTCACCCCAGATCTCACTGGGACTCCTCTTATTTCTATTGACCTGGAAAGTTGCAATTGCTCACTTTTGTTGAGCCTGATTTTGAGCTCCGAGACTCGAGACTTGAGAGTCGTGTTTTCCAGGACCAATCCGCCGATTTTAGAATTTTGAGCCTCCAGTAGTGACTCTACAGTATCCAATTAATCTACGTAATTAATAAATTTTACTCATCACGAGAAAAGTTTGAGGATGGACTCATAATGCTGAATTGGGTATTTTCCTCTGACTTTATTAGAGAATGTTATACCCCTGATTCCATTTTTAAGTGAGGCTGCCGCTATTGACATTCCCCTGAGAACATCGCTAAGTTCTTTTCCATTTCTTCCAGAGCATATTTTATTTATTTATTTTTTGTTATTGTAGTCATATAAAATAAGCTTGAAGTCTTAAAACCAGAAATGAAATGTCGTTCCAATAGCTGACAGGTCTTGTTCCATTACTTGACACACTTCAAATAGCCAAATAGTGAAATATATTTATAATCTATATTGCAAATAGTGTTCAGTGGTAAGCCTATTAACGAAATAGAATAGTTAAATAGAAGAAATGGTGAATGAAGAGAAGAATAGTTGGGGTGGTCAGTCAAAAAAGAAGGCAAAAATAAATGATAATATTTATTTTTACATATGCCGACGTTTCGACCTGAAGTTCAGGCCTTCATCAGGGCTGTCTCCATAAGTGTTGCAGGGAGAATGGTTTTTTTAAAGAAGGCGTGAGAAATGAAAAAAATGGTGTTTTTAAAAAAGGCGTTTTTTAAAGAAAGAAATGGTGTTTTTAAAGAAGGTGTGCAATGATCCAGTAGCTTTAAGGGCTGTTAGGTACTGGAGAAAGATGCAATATGAGGTTCCAGTAGCTGATATCCATTTAATTTTTTAATTGCTTCAAAAAAATAAGTTCAAAATAGATAAAATATAAGAGAAGGCAGTGTTTCAACTGCCTCCCGCAGTGCTACATCCTACGCAATGATGAAGACCTGCAAAGTGGGTCGAAACGTCTGCAAAAAAATTAAATAATACTATTTATATAACTTAGTATTTATTTGACTGCACCCCCTGCTCAACTCCTTCTCATTTATATCACGCGATCAACCATCTCTACATCATTATGAATAGTAAAATATAATTTATAGAGACTATGAACGAATAAAACAGAAGTTTGAGAATAATACAAAATAATTAAAGAAGGAGAACAAATACTGTACTTTTGTATCCTTACTGGTAGATGGCTGTTCCTGGAACACTAAAACAACTCTTAGGAACTTTTCTAATTAAACACCAGTTATTTAAATTACTTTTCCCTTTAAGACTAAAACATAATAGACAAATATCCAAGAGAATTATACAGAATATACTAATATTTAAAATAAATGGCTAGGAGGTTCTGAAATATTTTGTTTCATATTTTTAAAGGATGGTGTCACTGGTACACTGTCAACTACTGGTGCTTTTACTCTATACCTATTTGGAATGTTTCTATTAGGAATTGAGTTGTTAGTGCGCTAACTTGTTGAGGTTTGAATTACAGTATTTTTTATTTAGAGATGGATTCTTGTAAATTGTAAGTACATATTATCAAGAAAGAACATTTTTTTCCGTTAATATAATCCTTTCTTATTTTTAATATAATCCTTATTAGACTTCAGGTTTTTGTTTTTATAAACTATCTTTTTTAACATTTTACGTTTATCAATATTATAAGTTGATTTGTGTTTAAGTTTTACTGATTGTTTGTCTTTTACATTCATACCAATAATAAGAAAAAGGATTAACATAAAATGTTACTGATTTTTGTTTTTCTAATTTTAGCTATGACATAATTAATTTCTTTTAAATGATGTAATAGATAGCTTGAATTACAGTTTACTAACAAGCTAGAAATGATGATTTAACTTTATTTATGACAATTGCTCAATTATATTTTCCTAGAAATCTTTCCAAATATAAGTAATCGGAGACATGAACTATGGTAGTTTCAGATTATACCTTCACACTTTGACAAGATTTTGACTATAATGTTGACTGTTATTAGACTTATTTTTCCTCATAATGTAAATATTGATGGGCTTATAAGTTAATTGTCATGAAAAAGGCTAGGCAACTGTCATGTAGAGCTGTAAGTTTTCATTTACCATATCAGCAGCTGTTATACATGTCTGATTTCTGCCTCCTGTTTTATTTTGAGTTCCGGTTATTCAAGACATTTTTAAACCTGAGAATGTAAGATAAGTTAGGATTCAGTTTAAAGGTTGAGTTATTTTTTATATTTTATTATAATGGTTTTGTTATCAAAAGTTAGTATTATTATTGGAGATATAGCTTTAAAACTCCATTGATATGGAAAATTCAAGTGATTGTATGAAAATATGTCAAGAAATTTCCCTAGCTAGAGAATACCAGCACACAATGGTTATGATAGTGAATAATTGTTAAATGTATAAGAAGTTGATTTTTTTTTTCAGTCAATGAAAGAACAATGAAAAAAAAAATTACATATGTTTTTTATTTTCTTTGTGCCAACTTATCGTTCTAAATTTCAGGGCTCAGAAAAGACAAGATAATACATAAATATTAAGAAAATAGTAGGCGGTAATAATAATAATATGTAGTTAAAATAGCATAGTCAACTAATTTGTAGTTAGTTAAACTTGACATTAATAAATATGTGGAATGGCAAATAATTCAAAGTCATTTTCTGTGAATCACTTCTTGCCTTTTTGTTTTTCCTGAATACATATTACTTCTTTATCCTTTTTTATTATCATATACTTTTTTGGTTGTTATTCTCAGTTTATTATAATGTTGTACAGACTAATGAATCGTAAATATTTTTCAGTTTTAACATTATTCATCTTTAACTTAGAAAAATGTAGAAATATACCTATGTTATGGAGGCTGCCTCTTCTCCCCCCTCTCTATGTTTAATTGAAAAAACTGTTTAATATATTCAATTATTTTGTTAACATATTTTCAAATATTTCCAAATGCAAATCTTCCTGATCTATAAATATTTATCCTAATTCCTCTTCTTGAGTTAGGAGTAGTGGCATGTTCTCAGATGAAATCAATATAACACTTAACCTTCTGTAGGAAGAAGTATTATCGCCTTACTTATTTAGGCCATACTTGAATGATTTGAAATATTTATCTTGAGTCAGAATGTTGGAGGCAGAAGGTAAATTGTTTCTGTGACATACTATTGCTTCTTTATGTGGACAATTTAGTAGTTGTGCCTAACAGTTGCACAGATGCCAAAAGTGAGTTAAAAATTTTAAACTAATATTGATCAATAAAAAAGTCAGAGATTAATACCATAAACCTAAAATATATTTCCACAAGGTAGGACGTATAAAGTTATTTTTTTTTTTAGAAAATTAAACTTTATTCTGGGACTACGTCCCTTTAGAATAACAATGATGAGTTAATACAAAGTAAAGTACAAATCTGGCCAAAAACTAACTTATAAAAATTTTAATATTATATACATTATTTAAAAAGTATGTAACCAGTAAAAAATAAAAAATAAATATATATATACAAATGAACATAAAATCTTCTCAAAATTACTTAATTGTGATGAAAAAAAAAAAAGAAGAGAAATTACATATTTATATATACATAACTACACAATTTATAAACAATAGGCTATCTAATAGAAAACTAACTTAATACAAAATATAATAATGTATACAGTGGTTTATATAATAATATGCAGACACTAAGATAAAATAAAATCTTAGGATACTTGTGGTGTAATGGAAAAAAAATAAAATAAATAAAAGGAACTATTTATTTGTACATTCTCATATTGGCACACATAAAGACAAAAATATAAAATATAAGCATATATACCCGAAAGAAAAAGCACAACCTGAGGAGAAGAGAAAAATACATAAATAGTAAAAATAATAGTCAAACTAGGTGACAAAGATCATTGCTGTTTTATGTTAAAACTTAAACAGTAGGCACCACTATTTACTTCACGCAAATTCAGTTCATAAAATGAAATTTATGGTGGTAAATCTTCTGTTTGGGATGTAAGGAGATATTGGAAAAGGAGGTATTTGAAAGTTGACAGGGAAGAGGCATGACGGATGTTATGTGGCAAAGAATTCCAGTAGGAGACGGAGCGGGCTAAGAAGGAACGTTCATAGGTTTTTGTCCTGTGGAATGGAATATAGAGGTCAGAAACACGGGATCTCGTTTTTATTGAGTGGACTAAGGGTTTAGGCTGGAGGAGACAACAGATATAGGAAGGGTGCTGGGAGTTGATCGTTTGGTATAAGAAATTTCCAAGGAAGTATAGGCGGCGGGAAGAGGGAAGAGCCACTTTGACTCGGCATATAGGTGGGACACATGAGACCATCTCGAAGTGCCGAAGACGAATCTTAAAAAACAGTTCATGATTCTCTTCAGTCTGTCCTCAAGCTCCAACGAGAGGCCACCGTATACCACACAGCCATAGTCAAAGTAGGGGAAAATCAATGAGGAAACGAGGAGCCTGCGGATAGGTTGTGGGAGATGCTGACGAGAACGATGAAATAATTTAAGAGTACCAATTGACCTTCTGGAGATTTGAGCAATATGGGGTTTCCATGATAGGTTTTGATCAATGGTAATTCCTAAGTTTTTTACAGAGGAGGTGAAGGAGATTGGTTGGTCATTAATATTCAAGGAAGGATGGGTGGAAATGGATCTAAGGAGGGAGTTGGAACCTATAAGAATGGCCTGAGTTTTCGTTGCATTCAACTTTAATTTATTCAAGCTTGCCCAGGCACTTATCCTATCTAGGTCTCTCTGAATATTCGTAAACGCTTCTAATAACTCAGTGGGCGGAAAGGAAAAATAAATTTGGGAGTCATCAGCATATAGATGGTATGAACAATGGTGGATTGAACTAGGAAGGTCATTGATGTAAGAATTAAAAAGGATAGGAGAAATGCTTGAACCCTGGGCTACTCCATGAGACAAAGTGAGGAAAGAAGATAAGGGTTGATTCGGAATACTAACGGCTTGAGTCCTGTCAGAAAGAAAGGATTGGAACCATTGGATAGAACTATTGGAAAAGGATAGAGATTTTAATTTATTGAAGAGAATAGAATGGTCTAAGGAGTCGAATGCTTTGGAGAAGTCCAGGAGTACTAATACAGTCAGTTTTCTTTCGTCAATTGCAGTATGTATGTCATTTGTGATTTTAGCTAAAGCGGATTGAGTGGAGAAGCCTGGGCGAAAGCCAGATTGGAGAGGATCTAAAAGTTTGAACTCTTCGAGATAATTGGAAATTTGGGATTGGACTATTCTTTTGAGGGGTTTTGACAGATTTGAGAGGATGGAGATTGGACGATAGTCTTTAGGAGAGGTGGGGTTAGGGATTTTGTTAATAGGACGGACTAAGGCTTTTTTCCAGGATGTAGGAAAAACAGAATTTTGAAGGGAAAAGTTATAAATGAATAGAAGAACTGGAAGGATTTCAGGGAGGCATAATTTTAACAGTTTGACAGGTATTCCGTCAATTCCTGTAGAGTTGGATTGGGATTTCATTATGGAGGAAATAAGGTTCGTAGGAGTGATGTAGGAAAAATAAAAATTGTCACTATTAAATGCAGATGATACAGGAATATAAGAAGAGGCGGGAGAAATATTACTAAAGGAGGAGGACAAAAAGTAGGAATTTAAGGCATCAGGAGAGACTGGGACAGCTAGGGAAGAAGATGATTTGCAAAGAGATAGCTTTCGGAGTAAATGCCATTTGGATTTTGAATCGGGAGCTGAGGAGAAGGCTTCATGAAAGTAATTGGTTTTCGCTTGCCTGATCGTTGTTTGCGTCAAGTTACGGAGTACCCTGAACGCTTCATAGTCATCTGCAAGCCTGGTTCTTCTAAAACGTCTACGGGCTGCCTCATGTCTCTTTTGCATATTTCGAATTTCTTGACCAAGGAGCAGGCTGGCGGCGGAATGTAGAGGTTTTAAATGGGGCATGGGTATTGAGGATATGGAGGAGATTAGAAGTCAGGATATCTACCATGGTATCAATTGAGGAGCTGGTGTAAACATCATTCCAATTCAGGGTTTCAATATCGGGTAAGATGCTTTCACGGGTTAGGGAATTTATGTTGCGGAAGGTTATGGTTTTAGGAAGGATCACAGAGGTCTGGATATTGTATGATAGTTGGATGAGGTCATGTGAAGACAGGAAAGGAACGGTTGTTGGGACGAGGACAAAAGGTTCTCCGCAGAATCGATGATAAACAGGTCCAGCCATGTATCAGACCAGCAAGTGTGATGTGTAGGAGCAAATGGCACTATAAAGAGGTTAAGGGAGTAGAAAAGGTTTTCCAGGTAGTGTTTATCGTGGGAATCGGAAAGGAGATTGGCGTTAAAGTCACCGGAAACTGTTATATTACTGTAAAATGGGATAAATTTGTATAGGGTTGATTCGAAGGATGGGTCAAAAGGTACCAGAGGAGGGCGGTATACTACAACGTATAGGAGAAGATGGGCTTTAAAGGAAATTTCAACAAAAAGGTATTCCATGTGGGGATATTTGGAAGGGGGTGAGAT